TCGCAGCATTATCATGAAGTGAAAAAGGCAAAGTTGACGTACCGCTACGGTATTGCTGAAGCTCTTCAATGGTAAAGGGGCCAAAGACGTCCACCGACTCGTCAGAGGCTAAGTGAAAAAAAATAGGAAGAGGAATTAATGGATGAAGGGGATGGTAACTAAGACTAATTTTACAGTTTTCGCAGTGACCAGGGCGGGCGCTACTGATTTACACTATAAGTACCTTGAGCCAATAAGAAAGCTGTCCCAAAGATATGGGAAACTGAGGCTCCTAAACATGGTCATCAATTGTTAGCGGCTAAATCAAGTCATTTGTTACATCAGCAACCACAAGGAGTCAAATTTTAGCGAGGATAGATCGATTGGAATCCCGACAAATGAGGTAATCGATACGGATTCCTCTGAGAGCACCCATCTTTTGAGAGAATAATACTCTCGCCTGACTTAGGCCAGATTGATGAAAGCACGCATGAACTAAAAGAAGTATTTGAGAAGCCCCATTCTAGTGGACAATTTCAGGCTTGGGAAGCGATCTGAGACCAAAATTCAAGGTATTTGCAGGATGGATCAAAATGTAACACTACTTTAGATCACCGCATACTTCAACGATAGGGCTCGATGAAGGTTCAAACGGCAGCAATAAGGGATGATACAAAACAAGTAAACGAGAAGAAGGGGAACAAACGGAGATCAAACATATCGAAAAGGATCCTGCGGATGCATTTTGTTGGAGAACTAGATTGTCTTGCATGCGTTATCATAGTTCTCACTCACTAAAAAAGTTGGATTTGGCGTGCCTCCACTAACTTTTGAACAAGTTAACAACTACTCCTCTGCATAAGCCAATTCTTAAGTGCTACCTCTTGACCACAGTCTAAACCTGCATTCCTTAGCTAGTTACAGTCCATTGACGATAAAAAGAAATGGGAAAGCCATCACAGCCCTATGGAGAACGCCTAACATCGGGTTGCGGCTCGGCATGTGCATCGAAAAATGCAGTGAGACTGGTACTCATGATCGCACTTTCATCACGGCACCAGATATGAATAACAAATATGAATGGTACTTTTCCATCGAAATGACGCAGAACGACTTCAACGATGATAGTAGAGCAGGGATTACACAAAATGAATCCTCTTGGTGATAAGCAGAGACAAAGGCTAGAATTTTAACAACTTCACTTCCAATCTTTCGCTGCTAATGCACATCGCGAATTCTCGAT